CTTTTTGAGCAGTATAATGACTTAATATGTAATTTGGTATCAGTTCCAAGTAATTTAAATTAGAAAATGAGACAATAGAGGTAATTTCTAGCAGTTGTAATAATTTAAATAATTTAGAATGTAGCTTACAAATCTTTAATTGTATGACTCCACAGGGTTATAATGAAAATTGTATACACCTGGTACATCAAAATATACAAGGCATGATAGGAAAAGAACTAGAAATTGACTTGTTCTTAAATAGCAACAATATTCATATTTTATGTATTACTGAACATTGGTTAAAAGCTTATAACTTAATGTTTAACTTCAGTAATCACCAGGTGGTCAGTTCTTTCAATAGAGAAATGGTTTTAAGGGATGACTCCTTAATATTAGCTAGTAAATTATTGTCATGTAAAGAATGTAAAGATATTGTGAGCCTCTCTGTTGAGCGAACTGTAGAAATGGCATGTGTTGAGTTTGAGCACCTCATTGTTGTGAGCTTCTACAGACCCCCATGTTCTATATACGATACTTTTGAAAAAATTATGGAGGAAGTTTTTGCTAAGCTTAATAAACAGAATAAATCTGTTGTAATATGTGGAGACTTTAATATCAATCTCCTAGAAGCTTCCTCAATCAATATTAAATTCAATCATTCTTTAAATCATATGGTTTTTTTTTAATTTATTTTTAGAGCCAACGCATATTGCTCAATCTAGTGCAACATGTATAGATAATATTTTTACAAATGTGAAGCCGTTGCATAAATGTATAATTCATAAATTAAGTTCTGATCACTGTGGACAAGTAGTTTCGTTACCTTAGGTTCACAAAAAGCAAGTAGATGAGAAAGTTGTGTTTGTTCCAGTAAATGCACGTCGCTTGGAGAAATTTAGAAGTAACATAGTGAAAAAACTTCCATCACTTTCATACCAAAATGATCCAAATTTTTGGTATGAAACATTATTTAAGCTTATTTGCAATGAATTTAATAATACTTTGACTTCTAAAACATTCTCCTTGAACAGTCCGAAGTCGTTTAATGAATGGGCGACAGTAGGAGTCCATAAGAGCAGACACAGGTTATATGATCTTTACCATGAAAGGTCATACAATCATAGCTTCGAATTTAGGGAATATGTAAAAAAATATTCAAAAATATTTAAAAGAGTGTGCTAAACAGCAAAGTCTTTGCATTTGAGCAACAAAATTAAGACGGCTTCTAATAAAATTAAAATGAAATGGAGTATAATTAATAGCGAAACTGGTAAGATCAACTCTCGTAATTCAAACTACCAGTTAAGTGTTAATAACAAATTAACTGAATCAGATCAGGACGTTGCAATGGTTTTTGAGAATCATTTTACTGATATTCCGATCTTGACCACTAAGTCACTGAATTCTTATCCTGCCGTCGCCGAATCATTACTTAAACAAAATGTAAATGCGTGTACAAAGAATTTTACATTTCATAAAGTATCATCAAAAGATATTGTAAAATATTTTAAACTATTGATGTTAAGAAATCTGTGGGGGATTTCCGTTAAAGTTATTGCTTCTATAATAGATACAATCGCGCCTCATTTAGCTATTATTTTTAATACTAGTATCGAATCTGGTGTGTTTCCTGATTTAATGAAGCATAGTAAATTAATACCTTTATTTAAATCTGGTAGTACATTAGACCCCGCCAATTTTAGACCTATTTCTGTACTACCAACACTTAGTAAGATTTTTGAAAAAATTATTCTTGATCAAATGTTAAATTTCTTTAATATAAATAATTCACTTCATAAAAATCAATTTAGTTTCACAAGGGGTCGGTCGACAACTGATGACGGTGTTGAGCTGATTAAATATATATTTAATGCATGGGAGAATTCACAGGATGCTTTGGGTATATTTTGTGACCTATCCAAAGCCTTCGATAGTGTTCACCATGAAACATTAATCAGGAAACTTCAACACTACAGTGTAAGAAGTAATGCTCTTAAATTAATTATTTGATATCATAAGTAAGAGAACACAAAAAGATGTCATTAACAGTATGAGTTCTTCCAGGTCTATGGTACAAATCGACGTGCCTCAAGGCTCAATTCTCGGCCCCCTTCTGTTTCTTGTATACATTAATGACTTACCTTACATAGTAGGTATATAACCATGATATAGTATTATTTGCAGATGACACTTCTTTAATTTTCAAATTAAGTCGACAATTGCTAAAATATGACGATGTAAATAATGCGATATCTAAATTAGTAAATTGGTTCAATGTTAATAATTTGCATTTAAATGGCACTAAAACGAAATGTATGAAATTTATGACTCCAAATGTCAGACAAATAAATACTAATGTAATTTTAAATGGGGAGAAACTGAGTCTTGTAGATACCACCATTTTTCTTGGAATCACACTAAACGCGAAGCTTTAATCGAGCCTCCATATATCAAAACTAGCAAGCAGACGTAGTTCTGCAGCATATGCCGTAAAAAAGATTAGAAGTCTAACTAGTGTTGAAACAGGCAGACTAGTTTACTTTAGCTATTTCCATAGCATAATGTCGTATGGTATTTTGCTATGGGGACACGCAGCTGACACTGAAATTATATTTGTTTTACAGAAGAGGGCCATAAGAGTAATTTATGATTTAAAGCCTAAAGAGTCACTGCGACAAAAATTTAAGGAAATTAATATATTAACTTTGGCCTCTCAATACATTTATGAAAATGTAATGTACGTACACAAAAATAAAAGTAGTTTTACAAAAATAAGTGATATTCATTCTGTAAATACTATGAACAGACACAAGCTAGTAGTACCAGTTACTCAACTCCATCAAGTCAGTAATTCATTCTTGGGGTGATGTATACGCTTTTACAACAAAATTCCAGAAAATATACAAAATTCGACCTGCACAAAGTACAAAAACTTTATTAAACTAAGTTTGTATAAAAAGGGTTATTATAATATTAAGGAATTTATGGATGATAATAACCCCTGGAAATGAGGTGATCGCTACCAAGCTATTTCTAATTTGTTGTGTTGTTAATTTGTGTAACATACATGATTGTAAGCTGCTATTTAAAAAAAAGTCCCGCTGGGTTTCTTGCTGGTTCTTCCCAGGACAGACGTTGTCGTGAAGCGACAATTAAATATAAAAGAATCTAACCTAACAGCAACAAAACAACAAAAATAGGACAAAAACAAATAATATATTTAAAATTTAAGATATTTACAATTTTAAATAACAAACTGGAATATGAAGATGAGGATGGATGTCGTGATTTACAATATTTAAAAAAAAAAGGATAATAAAAAAGGGATTAGTGTTGAAGTTGAGCCCGGAGATCCAAGGTATATAGTAAGTGCTCTCAGCGCCTGGAATGAGCACGCACAGCGTAGATGAAGATGTGGACGTCTCTAGGTGACGACCTCGGGTGAATGCGGTTTGCAAGATCCGGCGACTTCAGGCAAGACAGCGGCTTGCAGGATCTTTAGCGACTCCAGGCAGGACAGAGGCCTGCAGAATCCGCCGACTTCAGGCGGGACAGAGGCTTGCAGAATCTTGCGACTTCAGGTAGAGCAGAGGCGTGCAGGATTCGGCGACTTCAGGCAGAGCAGAGGCTTGTAGGATTCGGCGACTTCAGGCAGAGCAGAGGCTTGTAGGATCTGGCGACTTCAGGCAGAGCAGAGGTTTGCAGGGTCCAGCGGCTTCAGCCAGGACAGAGGCTTGCAGGATCCCGGGGCAGTGTGGCCCCGGGATAAGGCCTTTAGGAGATGCTTCCAATTTGAGAACTGAAGCGAGACTGAATTTCTTCACCGATTGTTCGGCTTTTATACCTTTCTAGAGAGAACGGAAAAATTATTTAAATTAAACGCAAATTTTTTGTAAATGGCCAAGAGGAAAGAGTATTTATGTGGAATTAGCGAAATAGAAACAACAGACCGGTAGCGAATTTGAATATGATTGTCATGACAACCAAATAAACAGCGATGTCAAAACCTGTCAAATTTTGGTTTTAGGCTCGTAATAGAAAAACGGCAAGATTTAAGTGGAAAATGAGATATTATTGATATAGGAAAAAAGGTAGCGCAACTGCGCGCACAAAGTCCGAAATTGCAGAGTTACGGAAAACTAAATAAAAGATCGAAAAAGGTAGACTCCATTGACACCAATTTAAAAGTGTTGATAATGTGAAAATACGAAGTAGAAATGATTTGTTATTGTGTTCTTATGGTTTAAAATCGTTACAGGATCCTATGGAAATAAAGGTGATGTAAAATATCCAGTTTTGAGGTGAATGCAGAAAATTGAAACAGAATGGAAAAATGAATTTAAAATAATGTAAAATGATATGTAAGTAGCATAACACTACAAGGTTTTTTCGAACCAGTGGTAATCAAACAAAAGAGTGACTTTCAATAAGTATTATTTATAATCTATATTGAATAAAAAAGTTTCTGTTTCAATGTCTTTGTGGCGAATTTAGTTAAAAAGTACAATTTTATATTTTGAGGATCGAACATGTTACATCCTGTCAACTTATGCACTGAACTAAACTCGCTCATTACTCAAGCAGCGAGTTTAGTTGCAGATAGCGGGAGATAAGCTGGGGGGCAACACTACGAACTTAACTCCCCGAAAAATAGCCCGGCTGTTTATCCCGTCAACTTAATTTCAACAATAAGTAATAAATTTTTATTGCAATTCATTCATTCTACCCTAATACAAATTTTAAAAAGTGAACTAAAACGTTACAAATAAAATTCCATACATAGTGAAACTAACTTATATTGAATGTGTAACTTGCTTGATTAAATTTTACAAAAGAATTACCTACAAGCTGTCTTCAGTTAAAACAATGCAGTATTAATCAAGTTCTTTAAGTTAAAATTATAACATTTTGAAATAGCTTCTGCAAAGATTATTGTGAAATAGCTTTTGCAAATAAAAAAAGTTAAATTGATAACTGAATAAGTGCATTTTGCATAAGACAACACCGCAAATTATTTTTTAAAAACTTACCACTTTAGCAGGTATATCATGTCTTCTGCAAGCTCCATTATAAGTTTCATACAAGCCAAGGAACTCTAAAGGGTTGTTAACCCTACTCACAAGCCCTGGTATATCACAGCGAGCATGAACTGATGCTGCTTCAGACCCATCTAAATTAGTGCCTGATATGTCCAACGATTGAAGATGGGGCAAACTAGTCACAATTGAAGACAATACTTTATTTGGACTATTATATTTTCCAAGTATCTCACTTGAATGTGATAAATCCAAGTGTCTCAGTGACTGGAGAGTTGTAATCCAATCTATGATTTCCTTTGAACAGAGAACATTGTGCAAACTAAGTGACCTTAAGTTTTTCAGCTCATGTAACGCACATGTGGACACAGTTGATGTAAATTCAGATAGATCTAGATGTGTCAAGTTCTTTAGTGGCTTTACCAGAAGTAATGGAGATATAGGCAGCCTGCGACATTGTATAGTCAGCTGCCTTAAGTTGGGCGCATCAATTATATGTCCTTTTTGACTTAGGTGCCCTTCTTGTGCTTTTTGAGAAAGATCGTATGTAAGTGGACCAAATTTTAGAGACACCAAACGGTCGCTGTATTCATTAATTATATCCAGTGATGCCTGTGACAAGTACTCACATTGCACCAATTCCACACTGTAGGGCCTATGGACCATGAAGCACCGTAGACCTTCATCTGTGATACGTGAATTTCGTAGTTTCACGCAGTTGAGTCTTGTTCGGGATGGATCGCGAAATAAGTTTGCAATGTTATCGTTCACTCGGTTTTTCTTTTGATAAGTCTGGATGAATTTTTCGCATAAATCAGCAGGTAAAGTTATATCATCTTTAAGTTTACGCCAGCGACTGGTGGGATCCAATGTCGTAATTGTGTTCAGATTGGCCACTAAGTAATCCATACAAATATCCAGGAGAGAATCCGGATAGCTGTCGTAGAGCGAAAATATTTCTTGTTCAGACGTCATTTTGGATGCGGTAACGATTTTCTTTTATAATATGGAAAAATTACACACGAACTGTGACACCATTTCACTAGTTTATTCTCGAAAATCGTATAAGTCTGCTAAAATTGCCATATGGCTCATTTTCCAATTAGTATTTTGAGACATCGCTGTACACAAATATCAATAAACTGTTAAAAAACACGAACGGAAGCAACCGAACCAAAGAGTATAATAACTTCCCTATATATAATGTACTCTGTGATAATAACCACAGAACGCTAATACCCTTAGGCGGGAAGAATGTCAACTTCAAACAAAGAAAATGGCACCCATAATGCACGCCATCTCTGTCGTGCTCCCTAAAACTTTTTGCGCGGGAATTTTGACACGTGATTTTTTTTTAGTTGTCTTGGTTGTTTCGTTTCAAAAATGGCTTAAGAATGTAAAATACCATATAGATAGATATAGCTTGTAGTTTTTCGTTTCAATGATATATATTGCTAAATTAAAACGAAAACAAAAGCACAAAGTTATTTGTAAATTATGGTACTTTACATTCATAAACCACTTTTGAAACGATTAGCAATCATTTTAATATAAAAAAGGAACTATTTTTCAAATAAAAGTGGTTTTTGAAATACATAATTTTTATTTACTTTACATACTTGTCTACATTGGTACATAGAAAAACCGTTGGTACATTGATGGACGTAAGTGACGGAGTAATTAACTAATTTTTAACATGGTATATGTAACATGACATTTAAGCAAAATGGAAAGTAAAGGTACATTGGTTTTATATAAAAAAGATTAGACAATCTAATATAAACACTTTTTTCTAACAAGAAAACATTATTTACCTTCACATTCTACAAACAAGGCAATAGCTTTGCAATATTATGTCTAAACTCCAATAACCTGATTATATTATAGATGCCACCAATAATATTACATTTGTAGAAATTATTTTCGTTATGTTATTGTTATTGACTGCATTAAAAACTAATAAGTCAACATTTTCATGTCATTAATTAGCACCACGAAAAACAAAAAGGATAAAGATATGTTGATAAAAATGAAATATCATCTGAGAAAAATTAACAGGCTTCAAAAAACTGTAAAGCATCTAAAGAATGAAGCATTTGTCAAAGTATTGAGCAAAAATGATTCCGTAAATGAAATATTAAAATGTAATATATCCCCCTCTTTTGCAAACTGCTCTTCAAAGTAAAACTGATATCCTGCAGAATAAATAAGATGTTACATGGATATATACATAATTAACTAATTTTTAACTTTATGCATGTAAACAGTTTGGAACAGCTCTTAACTAAATATGGATTTAATATTTAAGTAGTTATTATTATTTTTCGATAATACAGGTAGATGTCTAAGTGTCACAGCATTTACTTGCTAAATTCTATAAAAAATACAAATGTATGTGTTATCCATATCCCACAGTAAACTTAAAAGTTAGTTGCATAGCAATACGATTGTTTGTAGGGTGTCTAATAAACTATCCGACATTAAATGATAAAAAGACTGTAAGGTATGATTCGCACCAGTAAAGTGATAGTTTCGAAAATACTATATTCGAAATCCAAAAGTGGCTCTATATGGCAAATATTTAAAAAAAACTTAAATTTAAATCCTACCTGCCTCGTGGAAGCAAGGAATATCTGACCCACTCCGACTAAAACTCTCAGATGTTTCATCTTCACCACTTATCGGCAGGACTACGGGTACACTTTTACACACATCTGTAGCCTCATCAGCGCTAGTCACTCCTTGGCAGCCCCTCTCGAGAGAGGACAAATCCTCCCTCTCCTTTTATCTCCTTATATAATGTCACCACTGAAGTGATTATGACTGTACATACAGAAAAAGTAGTTCCATGTAATATCTTATTTACTCTGCAGGATATCAATTTTTCTTTTAAGAGCAGATGCAGAGTACTCTTCTGCAAATTGCCGATTTTTCAAAATACAAAAACTCTTCATACAAATGTGAAATACGCTATTAAATAAGTAATCTATATTCATATCTTTATGTTCTGGACATTCATCGAGAAACTCCCAATTTATTGAGTTTTTGAACAAAACTTTAATTGTCCCTTTTAATTTTTTTTTTATATGCTTCTGCCTCTAAAAAATCATAAATCATCGTAGCACTACTTTCAATACAGTTAATGAGGTTTTTAGAAGCGTATTTAAGGGACTTTTTTAGATCGCTATATTCTTTAAAGTCAATAAAAGTATGTGATCTCTCTTGTGTCTCAGATACAAAATTTTTTTTACAAATTTCACATTTGTTAAGATTATTTTTTACTATAAACCCACAGACATAGGCACATGCTTGTATTTCGCCACTGCTTTCTTCCAAGCTACATTCAAATGTAGAATTTACACTTTCTTCTAACTCATCGGTTAAAATTGTGGCATAAGCAGTGTGTGTGTCTGTGGGTGGAGACAATAAAGATTTAAAATTTGTCAATATAACTTGATTTTGGTCTTCTTCACAATTTCCTGTCCCAATAAAAGATAAGTTGCTAAGGACAGCCGTTTTAAGACCCGCAACAAACTGCCCAGCAGTGGGATTTGAATTGCAGCCGCAATTGGCCCGAATGCATCCAAAAAGATTTTCTAACGGGTCCTGCTGGAGCCTTCTTGTTTCCAAACATTTTATTGATTTATGTTTAGAACTGAGATTTCTCCAAATTCGTTCTATTCCATTGATGGACCATATCCAACCTTCTTGGGATGGAGGAGCTCGTTTGCTTCCCAAAAACGTAATTTCTTTAAAAAAATTCTTCATTAAAGTGAAATGTGTGAGATATGGTGTATTATTTGTCATGTTTGTCGAATATGGTTTCCCCCTTCTTAGGTCTGGTGTGCATGCGTTGACACAATCAAACAGCTTGTCCATATTTGCAATAACATTAGCTGTAGTGACAGCCTCTGAAGAGAGTTCCCCTGTAAACAACACATAATTTAAGATCTTACTATTAGGATTAAAGAAACATGATTTAAAGTATGTTACAAGACAACTCAAAAATAATATCACATATCAGTATCACACAATAAACAATAATTTGTACTTGGGAGAGCCTAGTTCCTTTTTAAGTTAATAATTATTTTAATGGGTGGACATATGTTTAAATATTATACTTTAAATTATAAATTTAATTTACCTTGTGAAATTTTAGCATACATTCCTGCAGAAACTGAGTGGCTTAACACTTGTGCAGCTAGCTTCACCTTCATCTTCTGCTTCGTATTTGGATTTAAATGTTCTTGTTTTAAGCAAGGTGCAAACACAAAATTGGGATTGGTGTTATCTGTTTCATAAAACTCCTTTATATGGCTCCATTTAGCAACACCTGTAAAAAAATTTGTGTAAATATCCAGTAAATTGGAAATATGTATAATATTTTGATTGTAATAAAACAAAATATCTTACCAAATCCAATTTGATCATTTGATGTTATATTTGTTGGACATTTAATGTCATATTTTAAAAACATATTTCTAAAGCATTTGAGCAAATGCGGAGTATCAAAGATGGTAACCACTTCTCGATTATTTAGCAGAATATATGGCTGTTCTACAGATGCTCCCAAGATACTTAAAGCTCTCTTATTCACACCATCCATATCACACACTGTAGCTGAAATATTAATTCCAGCATCAAAACAATGTTGCAGGACCTAGAATGATAAAAGGGTAAATTAATATGGTAAAAAAGTACTACTACATATATTGACATAATAACAAATAAAAGACCATAATGCTCACCTCCTTAGAATAATAATAAGCAATTGGTTGTTTCAGCTTTTTACGGATTCCGCCAATCATGAACACGAGGGCATGTGTTGCCATTTGTGGTGACCTGCCCTGCAGTGCATGGTCTTGATAACCCTCAATTATGTCCTCCTTTTTGTTGTAAAACAAATTATTTTTTATTGACATCTCATCAAACATAAGGATATACTCATTGTCTGAGGGAGTCTGTTGCTTTATTGTTTTTTTTTTTTTCAAAACATTAAAAATTTGGTCATTAATACCAACTTTCATGTGAAACTTGCTTAATAACGCTTTTAATGAACTAGGTGTTGGCAGGCAAATCATCCTTCTTAATAATTTGTAACACCTAGGTGACCTTTTATACAGTCTTAGTGCTATTATTTTGGAGTCCATGTTCCATCTTCGACCTTATGATTTTTTTTTATAGTTTTGCAATTCTCCTTGCAAAAATAATGCAAAAGAGGGGGATATTTTACATTTTAATATTTCATTTACGGAGTCATTTTTGCTCAATACTTTGAGAAATGCTTCATTCTTTAGATGCTTTACAGTTTTTTGAAGCCTGTTAATTTTTCTCAGATGATATTTCATTTTTATCAACATATCTTTATCCTTTTTGTTTTTCGTGGATGGATTTGCAGCAGCAACAGGGTTGATATTCTCAGTTACTTGAGGAATATCACTAGTTATGTCAGGAATGGTTTTATAATTTACATTCTCACACAAGGGTTGTATAAATTTTGACGGACCCGCAACAGGCTCAAATACATTTGAAACAGTTATAGTCTTCTGAATATTTTCAGACAGTGGTTGTTTATTAGTTGATGGACCTGCAATATGTTGAATGACATTCCTTTGTTCCAAATTAAGGTCAGCTAATGTGATCTGAAAATTAGAGATTATCAAATCATTATTTATATCATGTATCCCAGCATTGGTCAACCAATCTCTAAATTTCAAACAGCCTTATAAATTTATAAACATTAAATACAACTTGTTTTTTTTAATGAATGTTGCTTTAACACCATTACCACCACCATCCTATTTTTAAGACACTATTTTAACAATTTCTTTTATTTGTAAATATATTCTGTAAGTAACTAAATTATAATCATGTCATTTAAACAACATTGACAGCTCGCGGAGCAGTGGCTAGCATTGAGTTGCGGCACTAAAGGTCACAGGTTCGAATGCTGCACGGAATAAGTATTTGTAAGG